GTCAGCACGTTAATTTTGTGCTCAGGCAGCTCGGCGGTTATGCTAGGCGAAAAGGCTTTCAAAGGCCACTCAGAAGGAGGGCTTCGAATCCATGATGGGCCGTTCCACCATAAATCATGTGAAACGAGTTGGGAGGGGAGCATCCCCCGGGAAAGACAATCACTCGGATTCTCACTTCCTGCGACATGAAAAAAGTTCTCAGGAGGTAGATTTTCTTGACATTGAGCGACGCGATTGCTAACAAACACCGACCAACGATGCGGTGAGGAATGAATCCACGAAAGCGCAATAGTTGAATCCGAAAAAGCATACGTTCCCGCGATCGGAATACGCTCTTTGTAAGAGCTTTGAACCGTCCGTATCAACCTGGACATCAAGACCGCAGCACATAATTCTAAACGAGCGAGTGTGGTCACCTTAGTCGGTGAAACCTTTGACTTCGCACAGAGTAACCTCACAGTTATATTCCCCAAGGAGTCAGTGGTGTGTAAGTAGAGAACACAACCATAACCGTTCATACTCGCATCACAAAACGCGACAATCAGCACGGTACAATCGTTGACTACACCAATATGACGAGGGATTTTCACAGTTGAAATGAGAGGAAACTCCTGAATGAGCGCCGAGAATTTTCGTAAAATGCTCTCGGGGGGAGTAACGTCCCAATCTATGTTACATAGCCATAGCTCTTTTATAAGCAATTTGGCGTACAAAATAACAGGACCCATTAAACCAAGGACATCAAACAAACGGGCAACCACAGAGAGTATACTCCGTTTCGTACATTTCTCTGGAACGTAAGCAGTCGTAAAGAAGAAATTGTCGTCCGCGGGTTCCCACGAAAGGCCTGACACCTTCAAGGTATGGTTAGAGCCGTCATTCAAATCCACTGCACTGCGGTGAGAGTCCGGAAGGGTTTGAAGAACCACATGAGAATTACTTGACCATTTGACTAAGTCGAAAGCACCAGCCTTGAAAAGCGAGATTAACTCTCGAGAAAGACGCACGGCACTAGCCTCATCAGCCACAGAATAGACCAGATGATCCATGTATAATCTGGACTCCGTGATCGAGGCAGCTTCCGGGTACTGAGATCGCATGTCATCAGCCAGCTGACGAACAGTTCGCATTGCTAAGTATGGGCTCGCTTTGAGACCAAAAGGGACCCGATTAAATTGAAAGGTTCTTACGACCTCCTTCTCCGAGAAACGAAACAAAATCCGAATATATTTCCGGTGTTCATACGGAACCAAAACCTGTAAGTACATTTGCTTGATATCCGCAGTCATCGCGACTGGAAAAAGACGAAAGCCAAGCAGAAGCAAAAACAAATCGGCTTGCAAATTAGGGCCAATATGCAGGACGTCATTCAGTGACACCCCTGTATGCGTTCTCGCACTAGCATCGAGAACGATCCGAGGCATAGGCTTACCCGGATGAGTGACAGCGTGATGCGGGATGTAATACCCATCCACGGTCACATCGGATACAGCAACTTCAGACAAATAACCCTTTTCGATATATTCACCGATAATACTATTATATTTATCTCGTAGATCTGGTGACTGTTTAAACCTCCGCTCCAAAGCCATAAAGTGGCGTTGGGCAGCGGTGCGAGAGTTACCCAATTCTTTAGGGTCCTTGCAGAACGGTAAAGCAACAGAATACCTACCACCCTCCCCGCGGGTGACAGATGAAACATACAAATTTTCACATTCCGTCTCCTCAGGACTCAAAAATCGCAAATTAGGCAATTCCTCTAACTGCCAAAACTTCTGCACCATGTCATTAAGCGAAAGCGCGCATAACGAAGTAGAAGTATCAACAGGAACATTACTCGGGAAATCACCCATCAGAACGTAGCCGAACGCGGTCAGCAAAGCAGGAGGCGCAGTAGTACCAGACACGACCCTATTCCCTAAATAAATATATGGGAACAGCTGAGCACCCAGAACGACGTCTACCGACCCGGGAAGGTTCCATTTCAGATCGGCGAGTGGAATCCCTTTCAGGTAACCCATATCACCAGCGTCCACATAACTCGCGGGCAACTGATCGGTGATACAGTCTATCACTAAAGCGTGTATAGTATATTTATTATCCGTATATACGCGGGACTCAATGTCCAAGTAAACGTACCCTAAAATAGGACGAGACGCCAAACCAATTCCCTTGACAAATGAGTTACTCAGTGGAATTATTGGTAAATTAAGCGATTTACAGCAGTCCATCGTAATTAAATTATTTTGCGACCCGTTGTCTATCAAACAACGAATAATCCTTCTATGATTACTATTTTTAATTTTGGCATAAACTTGAGCTGTCGATAACAAAATCGTAGAGTTCGGTTTTACCTCCACACTTAAAGACAGGGACGGGGTACCCGAGGAACCCAAAATAGCTGGGGTATCCAAAATGGACGGGGTACCCGAAGGGGTATCCAAAACGCACGGGCTCGACACTACGCCGGGTGCAGAGAGATACGACGCTGCGGGCAGCGAGGCGACAGGCGGCACCGACGACGATACACTGGGCAACGACTCTCCGCCGGAAGGTACTCGAGACGTATGAACGTAACTATTTTTCCGAACATTGTGATTCCTATCCTCAAAATGCAAAAGAGTATGATGACGTTTTTTGCATAACTCGCAAGCAACCGTCGACTTACAAGAGGTTAGGGTATGCGATCCACTAAGACAACCTACACAACCTTGTTTCGATTTAATAAAATCAAACCGAACTTGAGGTGAACTCAGACCTTTAAATTGTGAACAAGCATTAATTGAGTGATCACCTTTATTGCAAAAAATACACGATTTCTCCGACGCGTAAGTGAAATTTTCATTCTTCGCAACAAAAGACTTGTACGTGTTAGAACGGGATGCCGGGTTCGCGGCAGACGGAGACGCTTTATTAATACTACCGCCCAAAGACCGCGCCGAATACGAAACGTGCGACCGTTCTAAGATTTTGACTTGATCTTGCACATAAGAAATTAATTCGTCATAAGAAGGAATTTCCTTGTTACGCACAGATAATTCAAACGCTTGAACAGTCTGAACATCGATTTTCCTAAGCGCACAATGCAAAAGTATGAAATCGGTTAAATCACTAATATTCAGCTGTTTTAAAGCCAACACGGAGGATGAATAGCTTTCAATAAAATAATCAAGACTGGCTGCCGTGTTTGAACAACATTTCGCATCGAGAATATTGTTAAGATAAAGTGTACCTAATGCACGCACATCCTGATATTTTTTCACTAAACTATCCCAAATGATATTATAGGTTTCACCCGAAGGTACAATACCCGCGGTCGCTTTGAGCGCACCGTGCGTCAGTTTACCTACTAAATATTGCACGCGCTGCGAATCAGATAGCTGTTGGTTATTGTGAATATTGGACTTGAAAGATTCGTAGAATTTAGGCCAATTTTCCGCTTTGCCGTCAAAGCTAGGCAATTCAATCGGAGGTAACTTAATGGTGCATCTCGGATTATGATCACCGGAATTATTCGATGGCGACGGAAAAACTGGTTGCGACGCCACAATAATATTATTTCGGACGCGCTTTACCACAAAATACAAATCTTCAAAAGCGGTCAGAGGCTGATAATCAGGCTGAAATTCCGAATCTAGCGTAAGCTGGCGGTTATTTATATCGTCAATTATGGACTCAAATTGCCTTCGCATTTCATCGATTATCTCTGACTGAGCCATGAAAGTTTCATTGCTACGTGATGCAAAATTAGACACATTATTTGCAAACCTATACAAATCATTTATGCGTGAAAAAAGACGTTCTTTTTTTGCTATTAATAAGATAAGTTGCTTATCAGACGGTTCAGCGACAGAATCATCAGTTGAATTCGGCATTTTAAACAACTAAATACGCTATTACAATGCGAGAAATAATTTTTAAATGAAATAATTTTATTTCCGTAAAATTTTGTAGCAATTACAAAATGGCGAATATGACAGTACTACGTAGCAACTTCGCGAATTATACCAATTAATACGTAATTATTCTGCGAACATCCAAGTCATGTACTGCCTAAAAATTCCAGCTGGAGCATGGAATCCGCACTCGAAGGACCAAAATAAATGGTGTGGCGCGTGTAAATAGCCCACACCTGGGGTGGATTACACCAAAATTATAAATTATGTGGTTCAATACCAGGAAAAAGGAAGCGCCCACTTACCTCCAAGACGATGGGTTGCGTGGTCTCCGACGGGCGTAATGTGAGGCGGCTGGACCCTGCTTTGCCGGCATTCCAGAAAGCGCACGTCACAATTGTAGTTTTTACGATTGTCCCGAATATTTTTAATAATAATTAAAGAAAAGTATTGACACACATCTTGACAGTTTTTGAAGGAAGAGAGTATGTTCACTTTTTACACGAAAGGCACCATAAACAATGTTCCGGTAACCAGCCAGTGCCCTCAGCCACGGCGACATCAATCCCACAGATAAGTGGGTGCGAGAAGTTTCCTGGTATATCGCCACACATAATAAGATAGAAACATAATTTTGCCAAATAAACTAAAACCATTCTTATGGCGCTCAACCAATATGTATGTTATTTATAATTATGTATATTATGTTTATTTATTAGTATATGTGGAAAATAATATAATGTTGCCACAGCTGAAATGTACAATTTTGTGTCCTTGAAATTTACTTCCGCTATAAATGGCATGTAGTTAAAATATAATATTTTATTTTAAGCATACCTGAACATAATCATATTCATCGTGACCAATATTTTATCACGTTTCGCCAATTTGTGTGTTTGCGACTGGTGATGGTAACACTAAATCATGTATTTCTGTGCGTAGATACATTTAACTTACGCACACAAGTAAATGGATTCGGCATGCATTACCACACTCGTTTTTAGGCGTTATTATTTTTAAGGTTGTGATTGAATTTATTTTGCGCATTTACGTTTTAGATTTTATATTATACAAGTGTTTATACAAAATTAAAAACAAATTTACCTTTGCAACACCCAAGCCTCTCCTTTCAAGAGTTGCATATTTCAATACCGATTGCTCAACGCGCTTGTGAAGCCGTTTCATTCCATTGCTGTTAACCACCTGGAAATATGAATTATGCAATACGATATGGGATACTTCATATCTCGTAAATGTTGACTTGATATTTGAGATTCATTTGCGTGGTTATAACAGCAAGTGGGTTCATTAATTGAGCAACAATGTTTAACACCGTAACATTTAATGGTAAATGGATACAGCACTCAGTTAAGTTGTTATTTATGGTATTTGTCATCTCAGATTAATGAAAATTCTACAAGTCCGAAAAGTATAAAACTATAGGAAACTTGGCAATAAAGTGTTCCTAAAAAGTAAAATCTCTTTCTTTTAATTCTAGAACCATGGAATATCGACAGCCATAAACTTATTATAATTATAGAATAACTACCTTTTCACAAGGAAATTCTGTAGCAGATTGGAAAAAGGATATTTCAGGGCATAACCTTCTTACATCCTTGTCTATTTGTAGAAGTACTTCATTGTCTTTGAAATAAGTGCTCCAGGAACTGTCTGGACTTATATTTAGTGGATGGTCAGCATCACCCCCTGGTGTGACTATGATTTCATCTATGGAAATGAAACAGTTTTAGAGAAACTATAATGATGCATCTGTCCTAAGCTGGCCTATCAAATAAATAACAACTAATAATGAGATGATCATTATTATCTAGTTTTTTTTACCTATAAATTGTAAATAAAGTTGCCGCTTTTTTTTAAGTGTTGATTCACGTGCATCTTTTTCATGGGGTATATAGTGTAACAATATTTTCCATACAACTGAACGTAGGCCTTTTTCATCTGGAATACCTAAAAATCAAGAAATTCAAATTATTTCTGTATTTATCATTTGATCCTATTATATCAATTGATCAATGATCAATTATAAGTTCAATCATCATGTTATAAATATCATTTTTCAATACTTTTCTCTAAATCTAACACAGCTCAGGTACCAACCAGGCTGGATTTAACCCCCCCCCCCCCCCCCCCCTTCAAGTTGTTGTTTATCAAAATGAATAATAATTCTGTTTATTGACTAATAAAATCTAGCAGCTGAAATAAAACATAAATGAAAAATTTGGAAATAGGGATGATAGCTGGGCAAAGTAAACAAAATACTATTGAGTCACTCAGAGGCTCAATTAACTGCCCACTTACATTTTTCAGTATAATTTAAAAAAAATTTTTGTAATGACTTTTTTTCTTAACAATCTAATAAAGTGGATAATTTAAAATAAAATAAGTGAAAAAAATCAGTTGCCGTGGCTTTAAATTTTGAAAAAGTTCAATTTACCGTTTAACAAACCAAATTAAAGGAGATGACAAACAAGCTAAAACTTTACGTTTACATTAAAACCTAACTTTTATTAATGAATATTGCCTCCTCTGGCTGTTAAGACAGCCGATTTGGAAGACCATCCATAACGTCTTGAATATCTGACTGCGGTATATTCTTCCACTCCTCCATCAAGGCAATCTTCAACTCATTAATGGAGGTAGGAGCGGAAATCCGACTTCGTACTCGCTTTTTGAGATTGTCCCGAACGTGTTCGATAGGGTTTAGAACCGGGCTTCGAGCTGGCCATGGTAGCCGTGATATACCCACAGCATCAAGGTACTCCGTAACCATTCTAGCGACGTGAGCACGGGCGTTGTCGTGCATTAAAAGAAAATCTTCTCCAATAAATGGAGCAAAAGGTATACCATGAGGTTGACCTCTTCCACATACCTCTGATCATTTACGCTGCCTCTTTAAAACAAAACCAACTCTGTACGAGCCTTGTAAGAAATTCCACCCCAAACCATTACTGAGCCACCTTGGTAGCCCACTGTTTCGACAATAGCACACTGTGCAAACCGCTCACCCGCCCGTCGATACACTCGCTGGCGTCCATCAGGACCTCTTAAAGCTACTTTCGACTCATCAGAGAAGAGAACGTTCTTCCATTGCTCAATTGTCCAATTTCGGTATTGTTTGAGCAAATCGAAGTCTAGCTCTCCAGTGCTCTGTGGTCAACGCGGGTACTCGAGCCAGCCGGAAACCAGTTAAATTACGATCTGCAAGCGTTCTTCTTATTGTTCTAACGCTAACACTTACATTTCGTACCTCAAATAGGCGATTACGAGCCTCCGGAGCCGTAGAGAAGCGATTTCTTAAAACATTGGATACAATAAAGCGGTCGTCTCTCTCAGAAGTGCACCTTATTCGACCTTGTCCGGGTCTACTGGTGTAAGATCCAGTTTCTCGGTATCGCCGGATGGCATCTCGTATCGTAGTTCGAGGAAATCCCAGCATACGGCCTATACGACACTGGCTATACCCAGCATCAGAAAGCGCCACCGCTCTAGCTGCATCAACTACACCCAATGACATTTTACTGAGTAAGAAGCAAATGACAAACTATGCCACAACTTAAGCACAAAGAAATTTGTTTAAAAACTTTACAAGAAACACTTTATGTTTGCTTAAACAGTCGGTTCGAAAATCAATATTCGACTGAATAAAATAAAAGTGACCCACACTTGAGGGTATCTTTAAAAAAAATGGTAATAATTCTCTCATTTTATCATAAACTACCCACTTAACAAATTTTCATTCAACATCATAAGCGTTTCGTTATTTTAAACAAAGTTTTGCCACTTTAGCCGGGTGGGCGGTTAATTGTGCCTCTGAGAGTATTAGCGTCCAACACTTTTTGATAATCTACCTGATAGACGAAAGAGTTCATTCGTTAGTCATCATCCCTATTGCTAACATTTACAATGGTGTCTATGCTGGTATGTATCTGTAAACCTAAACTTAAATTTGACAAGTCTATTCTTGTCATTGTCTATACAGAATGGGAAGAAGAGTTTTAAGTTTAGAGAACCATGCCATAATCAACACCATTGTCAACATTGTAAGCTCTAATATTTAAATGTTAAACCACCAGTAGAAATGTAAAGCTTACTTTACTAATCAAAATAGTTAATTACAAATATGACTAATACATACCACAATTAAATGAAACTAAACTATCACATTTAATTGCTGATTTCATTTTATTTATGCACATTTAATAACAGAACACCACAAAAAAAATTATGTGGTTGAAGAATCATAAATAAAGATTTCATGAAAAATTCATTGATAATGCTACATTTCATGAATCGTGGGTATATATCCTGGCAAACTTCTGGAGCAACAACCATAGACAATGACTCTGCACAGTTGCAATTTTACATAAAAAATGTCTTCTGTGCAAGTTTAATACTTTGCGGATTTGCTCAAGAAGTTTACTGCAACCTATACCTAAAATTCCTACTCAATGCTTGCATGCATATTTGTATACATTAACACTCATCCAACATTATTGGCTATATTATATGATTCAAATTATCTGACACTGAATCTTTATTACTAACCATTAAATGCAAGCTTCCTTAATTGATCAAAGTCAATGACATCTTTGTTTAAAATATCCTCAAAAGCTTTTATCCTGTAACAAAATAGTACTTATTATCGGTCTATAGCCATGGATATGGTATTAAAAGATTATAAGAAATGAGATTGAGGCAGTATTTCATACAATTATTAATTTGGAGTCATGCATTTTTTGATATTTGGCAAATCTTAATTGGAACCATCCTACCTTGATAATTAATGACTAAGTAAACAGTGACATATTAAGAAATATTTATAAATAAATCATAATGACACTAATGTAGAAATTTGGCAAAACGCCCCTTTTTTATATTTTTAGTTGGGTCTTTAAAAACCTAAAATAAAATATCTGAATACAGCAATACCTGGCTTTATGTAAACTCATATTGTAATTCCTTGTTATTGACACGTTTTGGCAAGTTTTTCTCTTGTTGGGTGGAATATGATGCTGTTAATATGGCACGAGTTTCTGGTTCTGCAGGGATTGATAAAGCACTTTTGTTTTTAAGAAGACATCAACCTTTTGAAAGTTTGATATTTTCATTATTAATGTTTTAAAGAACACATGAAATAAATAAATAATGTTGTAGTACCGCTGGGATATTCACAAAGTTCTTCTAATTAACCCATAAAGGCTTAATTTCTAAATAAAACAAATAAAGTGTACTTACTAAGTTTGTTCCTACCTATCACTTTCCATAACACAGGCTAACAGAACAAAATTACCAAAGTAAATTACTTTCACACCATTACAGAGTGGTTTACCACTACCACTATATAATTGTGTTGATATTTTACCAGTATTAAATCACACAGAATGAAATCACTAGGTACCACAGAAATAGTATAATCAAATGTCACTCACATCGTCTTATTTTTTAACGTCTCTTTTCAGGGAAGGCAAAGGAAACAATGCCAATACAGCTTTCAGCTTTATGAGTGTTATTTTTGATGTGTAACATCTTCCCTCTCGCTTTCCTGCAATTTGTGGATTTCCTGATTTTGTGAAATGGGGCTGAAGGGCCGAAATATGTAACAGGAAGTCGCGAAGCGCGCTTTTTGATTTGATTTTAGAACATAATGTTCAAAGGGCTTATTCCTTTTGTAGTAGGTTTTATTTCTTTTTTAACTAATATAAGGAGAGAATTAAAATGTTACACATCATACGCGACTACTGTAAGGCTCGCTCGTTTTTTTCTCTTATTTGAGTGTTTATCTATATTGGAGTGTTTGGCACGTCTGTGAAGTTAGCCCCCCACTTTTTTAACTTTATTATTATCTAGGTTGTTCTGGGTTGTTCTATGTTTGTTCTACATTATTCCAAAGTATTATTTGAAAAAACTAAAATTTGAAGCTGCCAGACAAGAAAAACCGTTTTTCTATGGTAGCCCCCCATGTTTGGAAATTCAATATTTTTTTAGTTGTTCCAAGTTGTTCTAGTTGTTCCGAACATTGTTCCAAAGTATTATTTGAAAAAACTCATTTGAGTTTTACGGTACTGGTTGAAGCTGCCAGACAAAAAATAACTTTTTTACGGTAGCCCCCCATGTTATGAAATTCAATACTTTTTTAGTTGTTCCAAGTTGTTCTAGTTGTTCCTAACATTGTTCCAAAGTATTATTTGAAAAAACTCAAATTTGAAGCTGTCAGGCAAAAAAAACCGTTTTTGAGATAGCCCCCCATGTTTGGAAATTCATTATTTTTTTAGTTGTTCCAAGTTGTTCTAGTTGTTCCTAACATTGTTCCAAAGTATTATTTCAAAAAACTCAAATTTGAAGCTGTCAGACAAAAAAAAACCGTTTTTCAGATAGCCCCCCATGTTTGCAAATTCGCTTTTTTGAAAGTTGTTCCAATTTGTTTTAGTTATTCCTAACATTGTTCCAAAGTATTATTTGAAAAAACTCAAATTTGAAGCTGTAAGACAAAAAAAACTTTTATTTATAAAATAAAATCAATCGTACCTACCAGAGACAATAAATATATCAAAAATCAATTTAAACAATAACGATTGTACAACAACAGTACAACCGTGGGCTATATCGTTCCAATTTCATTTAATCATTTTGAATTAAATTAATAGAAAAGAAAACATTAAAATATAGGGTAAACTCCCTAATTGTTGGCACTTTAAGAGTAGGTAGCATGTCAGACATTAAATTACCATAAAATCACATCTAAATGAGTTAGTACACAACACATGTTACACATGTAACAGTATCAAAGAAAGTAGTTTAATCTTTGTTTTCATAATGGTATAGTCAATAAAGGCAAAAATCAGCTGCAACCTCCGATTTCGTTGAACCTCCATCGATTTTCATGAAAATTGGTAAGTAGGTCGGGGATACCATAAGAAACAAAAGTGACATAGTGCCAACTTGCGCTTTTGTCCTGAGGGTAGATACCACCCCTTCTCGGGGGTGAAAATTATTTTAATAAAAATAACTCCACGAATCGATAGAAAGACAAATTCTAAGTAAAATTTGTTATATTAAGTTTTCGGAATAAATCAATACTTTCTGAGTTATTAAAGATCAAATATTGTGATTTTGCGTGATAAAAATACATGTTTAAGCGGTTTTTCATAAATAACTCAAAAACTATGAGCTTTACAAAAAAAATATTAGTACCAAAATTGAAGCTAATAAAAAAACAAACACACGCCTACTTTGAAAAACCTAATTTCAATTCAAAGTGAGCTATAGGTAATTGTATGTAAATATATTTTTTTCGGCAAGTACTTAAATCTAAGTATTCAAACCTAAATAACGGGAAACCGATGAATTTATGACATACACTTCCGAAGCACTTTTTAAATTCCTCAGAAATACCTTTATAATGAGCACTGTAAAAAGTTAATAGCTTCAAAATTGAAAGTGTTATGATAAAAATAAGATAACACTTAATTTTTTTAGGAAAAACGAAAAATAAACCCTTCATTCCAACCATTCATCAAAATGCATCGGTTTCCCGTTATTTAGGTTTGGAAACTTAGATTTAAGTACTCGTCGAAAAAAAAAATACATACAATTACCTATAGCTCACTTTGAATTCATATAAGAAAGTTTTTCAAAGAAGGGGTTTGTTTTTTTTATTAGCTTCAATTTTGGTAATAATTAGACGCAACGAATAGTATATTCGGCAGTATACCGAATATTCGGCGAGGCCCCTGACCGAATAGCTGAATATTAGGCAAAAGTATTCGGCTGGATTTTAGCGCACAAAAACTTGTACAAACATGATTGTTTCGCGCCCCTTTGTTTGCAGTGCAATTCAGTGAAACGCAGTTTCAACAGAAATGGATCTTTTCTTAAATATTAGTAATATATCACGTCATGACAACCCATATACATGGTGGCAGCAAGGAAAATTGAATTTCCGTGTTTGATTAAGATTGCAGCAAAATATTTGTCGGCGCCAGGAAGTAGTGTTTATTCAGAGCGCCTTTACTCTGAAGCTGGGATGGTGTATGAGAAAAAAAGAATTTCTACTACTTCCTAAAAATGCAGAAAATTTAGTCTTTCTGCACCATAACCTTCCCCTTCTAAATTTTGATTATGAAAATAATTCAAATGCATAGAAAAGTTCTTAACTTGTTTAATAGAGAAAATGATTAAATTATGTACCTGTTTTATGTACCAATGACTACTTAATAAATGATTATAAAAGAAATGAGAACCTTACCCTTTTAAATTTTGATTACCACAATAATTCAAATAGATAGAATCCTCCATTTTTCCAATTCAGAAGATGATTATGTACCAATGACACTTTAATGATTATATATAACAGAAATGAAAATATGAATATATACCTACGTAATCAATCGATATTAATTTTCATTTTACCAATTATTTCTCTATGACAAAATATATTATTTAAGTATTCGATATTCGGCCGAATAATATGTAGGTATTCGGTATTCGGCCGAATATAATAAAAGCAGCCGAATAGGCCTAATACCGAATAGTAACCGAATATTTGTTGCGTCTAGTAATAATATATTTTTCTTTAAACTCATAGTTTTTGAGATATTTATGAAAAACCACTTAAAACATGATTTTTTTGACGCAAAATCACAATCTTTGATCATTATTAACTCAGAAAGTATTGATTTATTTCGAAAACTTAATATAACAACTTTTGCTTAGAATTTGTCTTTCTATCGATTCCTGGGGTTATTTTTATTAAAATAATTTTTACCCTCGAGAAGGGGTGGTATGTACCCCTAGGGAAAAAGCGCAAGTTGGCACTATGTCACTTTTATTTCATATGGTATCCCCCACCTCATCACCATTTTTCATGAAAATCGATGGAGGTTCATCGAAATCGGAGGTTATAGCTGATTTTTGCCTTCATTGACTGTACTATTATGAAAACAAAGATTGAACTATATTTCCTTGATACTGTTACATGTGTTGTGTACTAACTCATTTAGATGTGATTTTATGGTAATTTAATGTCTGACTGACATGGAACCTACTCTTAAAGTGCCAACAATTAGGTAGTTTACCCTATAGTGTAATGTTTTCCTGTCTTATAACTATTAATTTTATTCAAAATGATTAAATGAAATTGGAACGATATAGCCCACGGTTGTACTGATACAATCGTCATTGTTTAAAATTATTGTTGATTTATTTATTGTCTCTAGTACGATTTGATTTGGCGGGCTATCTGAAAAACGGTTTTTTTTTGTCTGACTGCTTCAAATTTGAGTTTTTTCCAAATAATACTTTGGAACAATGTTAGGAACAACTAGAACAACTTGGAACAACTTTAAAAATAACGAATTTCCAAACATCGGGGCTAACTCAAAAACATTTTTTTTTGACTGACAGCTTCAAATTTGAGTTTTTTCAAATAATACTTTGGGACAATGTTAGGAACAACTAGAACAACTTGGAACAACTTTAAAAATAACGAATTTCCAAACATGGGGGGGCTATCTCAAAAACGTTTTTTTTTGTCTGGCAGCTTCAAATTTGAATATTTTCAAATAATACTTTGGAACAATGTTCGGGACAACTAGAACAACTTGGAACAACTAAAAACATATTGAATTTCCAAACATGGGGGGCTACCATAAAAACGTTTTTTTTTGTCTGGCAGCTTCAAATTTGAATATTTTCATATAATACTTTGGAACAATGTTCAGAACAACTAGAACAACTTGGAACAACTAAAAAAATATTGAATTTCCAAACATGGGGGGCTACCATAGAAAAACGGTTTTTCTTGTCTGGCAGCTTCAAATTTTAGTTTTTTCAAATAATACTTTGGAACAATGTAGAACAAACATAGAACAACCCAGAACAACCTAGATAATAATAAAATTCAAAAAGTGGAGGGCTAACTTCACAGAGGTTTGTTTGGCACGAAATGTAT